GAATTTGCGGAACTGCAATCGGACTGGTGGTGGTTGTTTCAGGCATATTTGAGCAACTGGTAGTATTGGCGTTTAATGCCACAGATGGTGCAGTTTTAGCGCGCTGCCTAGCCTTCTTCCGCAGTTTTAATGCCGTGCTGGATGGGGATGATTGGGATTTACTCTCGGTCACGCTTTCTACAAATGAATCGCTTTTGGTGCTTTTCATTTGTTCAAAAATTGCCATTAGTTTTTCGTACTTCTGCGATAGTTCACGTACATTCTTTATCAGTAAGATTACTATAAATACTGAACAGAACCACAGTGAATCTGGTTTACCATTGTGCAGCTTCAACTGGTTCACTGTGAGCTTATGGTTTCCTTCCGGTCGCGTGTGCGTTGTATTGTCTAGAAGTTCAAGGTCGTCACGTTCTATGCATCTGGCCCAGGTGGGGCAGGTTTAAACGGCTAGATCGTTCACGCGGTAAACAGAGAGACTGAGCGATACAGACACAATGTGTACGATAGCTACTTTGATGAACGGTTCACAGCTGTGGTTGCTGATTCGTCAGCTGAAGCGTGTAGTTGGCTTTCCTTTGAGACCACAAATATTTCTGTGTGGTTCGTGATTCGGAAAATTCCTCGATCGTGTTTTTCGGGAATAGCACAAAAGTCGCAATGTGAAGATAAAAGGCGCTCCGCACAAGTTCGATCCGCAAGATGGAATGCACTAGATAGCGCAGATGAATCTGGGTCGAATGAGTGTGAACACACGTTTGTGTGACAAAATATAACTGAGAACGACGGCAAAACAACGTGTTCACAGATGAGCAATTGGAACGCAGGTTCGTTCAAGGGCCAAAGCCGAACGATGAATGAGTTGAAGCAGCACGAGGTGAAGGTGAGTTTGGAGGAAATGCCGACACTGGATTAGACGCAGAGAGCAATTGTCCGGCTGCGAAACGCCGACGGGATCCCGCATGAAGCATTGAAACACGGCGGACCCGCGTTGTTGACTGCGCTGCACCACTTGGTGCAACGCGTATGGATTGAGGAGGAGGTGCCTCCTGAGCTGAAGCATGCCCTTGTGCTACCACTGTACAAGGGCAAGCGGAGCAAACAATGTCGTACTAATTATCGTGGCATCAACTTGCTGAGTTGTATGGACAAGGTGATTGCCCGAGTCCTGTTCAACAGCGTTGTCAGTCAGGTTATGGAACCTAACGTGGCGGAAGAGCAATGTGGATTCCGTTCGGGTCGCAGCACTATAGATATGGTGTTTGCGGCCCGTCAGTTGCAAGAGAAGTGCAGAGAACGACACCAACTGTTGTACCCGCTTTTTGTTGATTTCACCAAAGCATTTGATACGGTGAACTGCGAGACATTGTGGCTAGTGTTGGGTAAGTTTGGTTGCCCGCGTAAGTTTGTAGATTTAATTGAATGTCTGTACAGTGGTATGCGAGCGAGGGTGCAGTTGAGTGGACAAGACCTCGGAGGATTTTGCAGGTATCTCTGGTGTTAAACAAGGCTGTGTCTCAGCTCCTGTCTTGTTTAATATTTATCTTCCTGCCATGATGTCGTGTGCGTTTGATGCGACTTGTGCTTACGGTGTTCGTGCGAAGCACCGTATTGATGGTGCTTTGCTGAACATCCGTCGTTACGGTGCGAGAACTTTAGTCTGTGAGACAATTATCCGAATGTTGCTGTTTGCTGACGACTGTGCATTGTTTGCACACAGTGCGGGGGAGTTGCAGCCCATGACTAATGCTGTGGCTTCGACGGCGACCTAATTCGGGCTCAACATAAACACAAGTCTTGATCCGTAATGGAGTCCGTGGGCCTGCCCCGAATCCAGATTACCGACGAAGTGTTGAAAACCACTCCGAGATTTTGCTACCTTGGGAGCGCAATAACAACCGACCTGCAGATGAAGAGCGAGCTGCGCAGCCGCGTACCGAAGGCTGCTGGTTTACAAGTCTATGGTGCTGTCCATTCTTCTATACCGCAGCGAAACATGCACGCATTATCGGAAGGATATCCGTTATCTGGAGTGGTTCCATCCACAGTGTCTGCGCCGTACTACGCGTATCGGCTGGAGTGATCGAGTTGCAGACATGGAGGTGCTCCGACGCAGTGGCATATATGCAGTGGACTGCCTAATTCTGCTGACCCACTTGAGGTAACTCGGCCATATTCGCCGCATGGATTCGACCCGTACACCGAAACAGCTGCTTTATGGCCAACTGCGTGCAAGGAAGCGGAACGTGGCAATACCGAAGTTACGTTACCAGTACATGATCAAGGTAAGTCTATCACGTTCTAATGTTGATTTCAGGTGTTGGGAATCGAAGGCGGTTGATCGGTGTGCATGGTGCGAGCTGATCACGAAGACAGTTGCCGAGGTGCAGGGAACACCTTCGTGCGGAGGAGAAGCGGCAAATGCGGAAGTGACAGACACTGGTGGCGTGCACTCCATCGACGTCGGGTGCATGGTATTGTAGCACATGTAGCCGCGAGTGTCTGAGTCAGGCAGGTCTAGTGAGCCACGAGCTAGGCCACTTGGGACCAGCATCGAAGCGACGGGTGCAGCTGAGAACTTAAGCAGAACCGACGCAGCGTTGCTCGGTAAGCTGCACTCGATTTACTAACCGCGTGCTTGCGTGCTGCGTTTCATTATTTCAGGTGATTGGGTTGCTATATTTTGCTAACAATTACTTTGTTACCTCATTTTTATGTCAATCTAAGGGATTTTCTATTTGTTACACACGTGGTTAGTTTCGTTAAATTTGTTCGCGTTTTTCGCAATGCTTTCATTGCTTTTCTGCCATCTTAAATCTAGCTCGGATATGTTGATAACACATTAATTTCATATGCGAATTCAGCGGAGGGTTATGTCAGCATATCCGTATGCTTTAATCGATATATTTTAGTGGATATTGTCATTTTAAGCGATCGGCGGTTGCTTGACATCTTCGGTTTGACTGCGCTTGATGTGCATATTGACAAGGTGCTTACCTCTCTATTACTCACTATCTCGTCCATACTGGCTCCAGAAGACAATTGGTCGTTGCTAGAAGGGACGGGGCGCACGGTCAACGTGGCCGTGCTAGGCTAGAAGTGGTCCCATACACTCAGTGTGGAGCGGCCTACGGCCTAGCCACGACCTTGTGTACCTCTGGTACGCATGACTCCGTACATAGATAGACAGGAATACTGCTGCTGTGCATGTTGAAGGAATGTGGGCCTGCTCCGTTGATGAAACGTGACTCCCATACACATGCCTCCCGGTCTTATTCCTTCGGGTTTACACTGGATATGGGGTATCTGGATGGAGCTGTGGGTAGTGAAACGCAAGCCACCCATGGTCTCTCTGTAGGCGCAGGTATCCTGTAGCTGTCCTATGGATGCCACAGTGACAGGCGAATTCGGAACCGGATGCTGCCAACCATATATTCAGACACACAATGTGTGATCGGAATCATGGCGAGATAAGAGGAAACGAAGTACATTAGAAAAAAAACGATTTTTGGGGTTTCACACAAGTCGTTTAGTTTTTCGTTTTGGAGTTGCTATGTTTGATTAGACATGAACCAATAGATAATGCGTTTGAACAACACTATCGCAACTGATGTGTGTTGCGCGCCACTAGCTCCAGTGTTTCCAACCACTATGTTGTGTTTGAGTTCACTGTGAACCGAGGACAGTTTCTGTTCATCAGCCAGACGCGCAGTGGTACGATTTGCGTGGTAGGTTAACGTGACTGCGGCAAGTAGCGAAGTTGGGAGGAGGGGCGAATGTCTACGGCGTTAGGTTAACCCTAATGGGACTTACACGAACCAGTTGACCGAGGGTCTGTAAGGAAACAGCAACCGCAAACTAGGTTTATGGGATCGTCCTCGGATAAGCGAACGCTGAGGCTAGGTTTGGCCGAGAAGTAAGGCGGAGAACGAAGCGAACTACGTTAAGCTCTAGTCATCTATGAATGGTCGCCATTGACCTGCAATTATTCATCGACTGTGCCTGTTTTATAATTTATTATGGATAGTATGCTACGGCAGCTCAAGCGTGAGCTAGGTAGGCAAGCGGGATATCAACTTAAGCCGGCCAGTTAGAACAGCCGAATGGAAGATCGAGGAAATTTATTCTCTCTCCGAGTCACAGCCCTGGTACTCTGTCCCAGTGCACGTAATTAGTGCCCACACCTTATCACTATACAAAAGACTACTTAACGACAACGGATACTGTGACCATCAAATGACAGCGTAAATTCATAATAAACAGTGGACTGTATCAGACTCTCATTAAACCTCAGGCAACAATGCTGTAAACCTCTTGGCGAGACAAGTCACTTGCGCATTCTTTTATCTACACTTATTTTCAACTTGTAACTTGAACTCTAATCATCCTACGGGACTTATTAAGCATTTGCTTTTTAACCTGTTATAAACCTTTGCTCCTAAGCTCAAACTCGCCGATAAAGTGAGAAATGGATTTACATTCAATTTCTCGAAGTGAATGGCCATACACAGAGTTCAGTTAGATACGTATGATCAAGGCACTGAGATGCAATGGACCCAGTTCTCACCAATAAATATCAATGGTAGAAAGAGATTAAATGGAAACTGAGAAAGAAGTGAGGGGAATCATTCAGAGTTGGATAATACAAGTCAGATTCAAGAGACGCAATGCAGAGTTGTCACTGACTGCACGACGACGCCATTTTCGATAAGGCCTCCAAGAACTGATCAGGCTTATCCTCACGCCAGCATAAACAAGACTCTTAATATTTCATAATTTTGTGCCACCTCATGGACTGGCCACCTAGCAGGCTCACTCAACTAAGTGCAATGACGGTGTATAATGCAAATCGAAGAAACAAGTCAACGGAGGACATGGTACAGCCAACGTAAGTGAGCAAGCTTCAACAAATACTTCCGTGAGGCCTCAGTGCTGATACGCGATTAAAACAGCGTCGGTCTCCCATTAATATAGAGCGGGGAAGGTGATAGAGGAAGACTCACCGAAGGCTTGGCAGGAAGAGCAGTGAAAAAGTTGTCAATTCGGCCTTGAGTACTCGTGTTTTTGGCCTTCAGTAGCTTCTTCGACCCATTTCGGATACGCTCTTCGCTTGAAAAAAAGGAAAAAGAGAATGAATATGGCGCAAATGCGATAGCACAGAAGAATTTACGTATTTCTTCACAGTTAGATTGCAAGCCAGATACGCCAACTACAAATCTGGAAAAGCATCAGAAGGTCGTTTCATCTTCTTGGGACTCGTCACTGGTGCGTATTCCTTCGGTTCCCTGAAGGGAATGGAGGCTCCCATTGAAGAATACGAGAAGTTCCAACCTAGCCAATCCTTCTGTGAGTTGATTCACGTTCCATTACCCAGTTACTGAGTGACCAACTTGGCGCAAGTAATGACGTCGAGGCAGCTTGGTTGGAGATACTCGAAGGCTATGTGGTCTGGCCAGCGCATGCGTTTTTGGCTCATCACAAAATGGCGGAGAACTCTAATAGAGACATCGCATGAAACCTCATTGCGCACAATGAGTGATGGTGATAAACCGTAGGTCGACGGCCAGGGCTACAATATAACTGAGTCAAATCAGAAGGAAAAGGGGGAAGATGAAACCTAGAGTATGGCACCCTCGAGGATCCATCAGAAACGGTTCAAGACGAAAACGCCCCCGACATATTGCAAATGAAGGAGTCGCATGCGTACAATATAGGGGGTAATCAAGCGAGCAGGTATGCAGAGATCAGTACACTGTGGTGTACCCAGATGCTTTGATTCACTGTCAAAAATAACATCGCGAACCTGAGACGACAATGAAAAGGCCTATTTAACAAGGATAGACAGATAATGCCCTAAGTCGATGCTTCTTTAAGGGATAGAATCCTGTCGGATTTGACGGAGAACGAGAGTTGCTAATGATCCCTAATCGGACGAAACGGTTGCCCAGCACGATAGTTCTAGTAAAGATAAGTCTTCATTTCGATAAAAATATAAAACAGTTAGTTTCCTTTAGTAACTTGAAAAGCACACTTAGAAGACGAAGTTGGGCAGATACATGCATTTCTTATCGTCTCATCAGTGCCGATAAGGATAACCGGCAATTTGTACAACGGTTTGTGGGTACAGACATAAAAACAAACATGATAAAAAGTGGGTGTCTTTCTTTTACAACCAGGGCAGCGTGAGGCAGACCGATAATTGTTTTTGCACACAAAGCAGTGGCTTACTCCGATTAATGGCAATAGCTTCGGTGAACCGTAGGAGCCGAGAATTAGTATGGCGAAGAAGGATCCTAAACGCTTTGTTGATCTCAATTCGGTGACCCGATGTCTATAAGTGTCTGCCGATCGAATATGCTGGCGGCCTGCGCACACACGTAGTCTGATTTAGGCTTGCTTGCTGAATACTCCCGCATGGAACCCATTTCGGTACATACTCCTTTATTCGGGAACTCAGTGTTCTATTGGTTCGGCCTATGTAACTATCCCCGCAGGTACACACGAATTGATATACGCAGTGGGAGATGGCCCCAATAGGCTTAAGTTTGTATATATATCTGTGCCCACAAACTGTTGTATAAAATTACCGGTTACCGTTATCGGCACTGATGAGACGATAGGAAACGCATGCATCTGCCGAACTTCATGTTTAGAAATAAACGAATGTAAAATGAAGGAGTTAAGAGTTCAATGTAACAGGATGCATATTGACACACGGCCAACATCATGATTGCATCGCACAAACAGGTTCCAATTACTGGTCGACATGCTCTATCTCAGTTGAGTTCAACTACATCAGGCCCATTGATGTGATCGAGTTGTAATATGCGGGATACATAACTCCAGGATCGTTGGTTAGACGCACACCAGCTCTGCAACATCCCGATGAAGAAGCGATGTTACTCCTTCCGTTTGAGCTCAAGCACCTTAGTCAAATAGTTGTGCATTAAACACATTCGCTAACCTGTTCTGCTGAGGGGACTCCGCCAGGCCAGTACTCGATGCACCGTTGTGGTTTTCTCTGACGAAAACGCGCCAGATCGTGGCACTGCGCGTACATGAAGGATGTGCAATATAAACTCCTTACCCTTCAGAAGTCTCTAAACCGTGACTCTCGAAACCAGGTAAAATTCTGCGGGAAGCTGTCTCTTGAGCTCCTCACGACAAGTGGACTTCGCCAGGGTTGTCCTATACCTCCTTTCCTCTGCAATTTTGTGATCGAAACGATCATGTCTGACGCGGTTCTTACAGACTATTTTGCAGTGGAAGCTCTGCCAGGTGGCTGACTGATAAAGCTGGAGTATGCGGACGACATACTTTTCTTTGGGGTCTGATGCAATGATAATAATAAAAAATACTGCACAGATTTGTGCATAACGCTGCACGCTCCGGCATGTGCTTTTCATCTTCAGTGTGCAAAGTACTGCTGCAGGACAGGGCCGATACACCGAGTAGCCACTAGAAGTGGGAAATCGGTTCACCTACTTTGGTAGCTGTTGTCATGCTGCCCTTTCCTCCGCTCTATGCGCCGCACACCCAGCCGGGGAAAGAAACAGAAGACCGAGACCTGCAATACTGGAGTGTATTAGGAACAGAATACAGTTACTTTCTAGGTCACATGCCAACACCTCCGGCTGTGCATCTCTGGGTTCACTTACGTTACTTGTCTAGACAGATCCAAACCTGCTAGCGGTCCCCTTTGGCCAGCTGTTGTGCGATCACACAGGCCGCGTAGCAACGCGTGTCAGGATGACGAACTGATTTCATATGCTTTCCGCGTGACTTGCCGCAGACCCAATTCAAGGTCTCGAAAACGTGACACGGAGTACGTTCGCTGTGGCTGCAAAATACCACCCCTTTCCAAATTGAGGCTGCTTGCTTACCGTTCGAACACGACTTTGTTCATAGCTTTTCGCCTTATGGTCAACTTGTAGCCATTGGGGTCGTTTCCGATTTCGGGTCAGCTTGTACTGTGCGTCACTTGTTATTTGCAGCTCTTGTTGTGATCCACGTAGCCGCTCAGCTTCCTTTTCCAAGCAAAACGCGTCTATCAGGATGTCCCACGGTAAGGATGGCGGTTTTGGGGAACTTTGAGTCTTGCCGTCATTCGGCCTCTGCTGATTGGCGTACCTGACCTATTTCTCATTTCCTACTATTAGCTAGTAGATGACTCGACCATTTCTGCCGACCACCATTCCTATCGACTATCTCCTCGGTCCTCGAGTGTACACTGTAACCAATTTTGAAATGACCAGCCCGACTGTCAGATTTTGCTTTACTTGACAACTGTAATGTTTTTCCTTCCTGCTTGGCACAAGGTTATCGAACAATGTCCGGATCTTCAGTCCAAATAAAACTTCGACAGCGGCTTTCCATCTGGGGCGTTTGGGTTTGGCGCATTCCGATACATGTACAGAAATGACTGGGTCGCGTCCTTCGGGACCTTGTTTTGTCCCGCTGTACAAACAGCCCGTTTGAAGGTATCCACGAACCGTTCCGTCTGTCCCTTTTGTTTGCGGATGATAAAGTGGTGAGAACATATGCTGAATTCCTTTCTCCTAGCACCGCTCGCGAAAGAAAGTTGGAGTGAATTGTGTACCGTTATCTGTCGCTATTATTTCTGGTAGGTCGAAATACGGGAACAGCTTATCCAGCTCGTTGATCGAGTGCTGCGCAGTCGGGCTTTACATCGGGATCACATTGATCCACTTGGTGAAAGAGTCCACCAAAACAAAATAGGATTGACCGGCGATTGGTCCTGCATAATCTAAGTGGATTCGCTGCCATGACTTCTCTGCTTTAGGCCAAGGTTGCCAGGGATACTTGGGAAGGGCATTTGCCGCCAGTTGATAGGATTCACATTTTTGGCGGAAGTGTACAACTTCTGAATCCATTCCGGGCCAATAAACAAAATTGCGTGACAAAGCTTTCACATGGTTGGTATCTGGATCAACGGTATGAAACTGCTGTAAGACTTACCTGTTCAATTTCTTTGGCACCACTACTTGGTCTCCAAACCTCAAACAATTGTCCACAACGAACAGTGACCTACGTCAGTTGAAGAAAGATTGCAAGTCAGCAGGGATAGCAGCTTTTGGCCAACCTGTTTGCATGTAATACATCAGTTTCTCTAGGTGTCTGTCTCGGGAAGTCTCCACGCGAATAGTGTCAGCTGTCACTGGTAATGTTTTTACGTTATCGGTCAGGATTCGCTGGACTTCTTACTCGAACTAGATAGCTGCAATCACACAATCAACGTTCTCCTTTGGGTGCGAATTGAAGAGAGGAGATAGGGCATCCACATTGCCGATTTGTTGCGCAGGTCGATAATGTATACTGAAATCGTACGCCAACAGTATAGTCGCCTAGCTTTGTAACCGATTCGCGTTAAAAACGAGAATTGCTCTCTTTGAGCCGAATATCGACGGCAATGGCTTATGATCAGTCAGGACGGTGAAATGTCTGCCATAGAGCATCTTGTAGAACCGCTTCATGGCGAAAACGATTGCGAGTGCTTCCTTTCCAATCTGACTGTAGTTCTTCTCAGCTGAGGTCAGGGACCATGCCGCGTGCACAATAGTCCTCTCCTCCGTCCGGAAAAAGGTGGGAAATAACAGCGCCGATACCATAATTGGAAGCATTCAAGGCAACGATGATTTCCATGTTCGGATGGAAATGAGTCAATAAATCCGAAGTGAGTGCTGCTTTAACTGCATCAAAGGACTGCTGACATTCCCTCGTCCATTGCCAAATATTGTCTTTCGTCAAGAACTGGTTCAGCGGATGCACACTTGGTATGAAAATATTGTAATGCCTCAAGAGACCGAGGAACGAGCGAAACTCGATGACCTTTTTCGAAGGCTCCAACTGTTTGACATAAATAATAATAATAATAATATGTCAGCTGTACGCCGTAACGACGCTTCGCTGCCGCGCGACCACCATCAGACGCGCGCGGGCTGAGTATACCGCGAGGACGTCCACCCCTACGCGGGCGGGATATGGGCGCCGGCCATGTTGGTCTGTGATAACCCCGAGGAATTCAACACTATCTAACATGAACTCACATTTCCCAGGCCGTAAACGAAATCCAGCTTCTTCCAAACTTG